TCCAAAAAAGATGTTGTGATTTTCAAAAATTATCGGGTTTTCCATCCTTATCCACCTAGGCTGGGGGGGGGGTTAGGATGCAACAAACAAATCTCTTGGGATGCAGACCCAAACACGGGTATGACTGTTCCATGCAAGTTTGTGAAGCTCCGCCCACGCCGATTGCGCGGATGCGGCCAGACGCTGGCGCTCCCAGGATTTGATCCAGAGGGTGGGGAACATGCAACCAGTCAGATCCTCCACATAAGGCCACTCTAAGTGCGCCGCCGGCATTCTGAACGCGACTCCAAAATCGAGGGATGTGTCCAGGACCGTAAGAGCAGCATTTCACTTAAAATTTACAACTCTGTGTGGGTTTAACTTGGCCCCAACAGACGCGGCAGGATCCCCGCCATGTGCGGCTCTGGCTTCTGCACTGCACCAAGGTTTCAATACGATATGCATCTGGTAGAAACATGGTAACAGGGCTAACAGTAAGAACTGCTTGGTAAGTACTGCACAATGCATGGTCATGCATGCACTACTTACACGCTTGCTATTACACCGCGCAAAAGAAAACACGCTGCAAGGAAATAAACCTGTGTACTTATGACTGAAATGCATCGCTTAGAAATGCCCTTGGTCCGGGGCAATTACATGAAATGCGAGGCGGCTGCAGTTTAAAAGCATTAACGATGGTCGCGTGGTATCACAACAGCATGTGAGTGCTGAGCCTTAACTTTAATGAGCGCATGAATATTGTGCAATTGATGATATGCAAGTCGATGGAGACAACAATGGAGGCAAAAATGTCGCTGCCTCCCTAACGACACGTGTCGTTGTAGCTGCTAAATTTCGTCATGAAGGCCCAAAGAGGCAGTAAGCGTTGCCAGCACAACTACACTGTCATTAAAGGTCGATTACAGTGACAATGCCGGGGCAGCGTTCTGATGAAATGAGGCTTGCAGCGTCTTTTAATTCAACATGCAGGTTGTGTTGTCGTTTTCCATCAGTAATATCCACAACATTGTGTGCACGCTTGGTGGGCAACGACATCGCTGATCATTCAAGCGCGCTTTAAACATTTGAAATTGTGAATTCTTGTGCTGATTATAACCGCCCGTCAATAGGAGGCGCTGGTTAAGGGAAGATACCAAGCAGTCATCGAAATGTTTGCACAGGGTAAGTACGCAACAATTCCGCCGCTAGGCACGGTGACTTCTGGCCATTAACACTGTACTGGAAACGTTGGGCATTTTCATAATGTATTTCAATGGCTGTCCCCATTGTTCTTTCAACCAGTACCTCCTGGTAAGATAAAAGTCGGTTATAGTCGGCAGTCACACTGTTGGAAAAGCAAGAGCTCACGTCTTAGCCTACGCAGATAAACATGTGCCAAATAACTATGGACCGTTATTTGTTATTACTATTGTATGGATTATTCATGACGCCTGCTATTGATTTCCATTGTGGTACCCACATCATCATCAGCAGCCACATCATCATCATCATATCAACATCATCATCACACATCAGGGTAAGCGTGACAGGGAACAGCTCTTGCTGAGGAAAGAGACCACTAGGATGAAGAGCAAGGACCGAGCACAAAAGGGCAAGTTTGGACTTTTCCAACTTTTTACGCTGTATGTTGTGTGGGGGATTGGTACAACCCAGCGTAAAGAACGGCTATTTTCATATTTTAGATATCTTCCGGTACATATGTTGTTGGTATGAGATTGCTTACTCCCGACACGTTCAAATGCATGGAAAATTACTTTGCTTACCTACCGCAGTGGGTTCTGATGCGCGAATCAAAGTGTACACATTTCTGTCTTTGGTTATCCCGCACTCGGGTGTTACGAAGTACAAATAGCGGGGGCTGGCATCACTGCTTCGATTGTCGGTGCCTGCCGTCATAACGAGATCGTAAAAAACACTACGGGTTGACCGAGCCACGAATTGTGTGGGGCCGCTGTCTTGGGGATCCGGGCCGCTGTCTTGGGGATCCGGACTGCTGTCTTGGGGATCCGGGCTGCTGGCTTGGGGATCCGGGCCGCTGGCTAGGGGATCCGGGCCGCTGGCGTGTTGATCCAGGTTGATCTGGGGCTGGTAATGTGGCACGTTTGGGCCTGAGGTGCGACGAGTGGTTTGTACGTTGCTGAAATTTTTGAAGCTTTCGCGGTGCTCAATTTTTATTCGAACTTGTGCTGTGGTTTCTTCGTTGGATTTCATGACTTTTGTGACATTTTTGAGTGTACTGTAATTTTGCATGTGGCCGCCCAAAATGCACATGGTCAGTACGGTGGCGTTGTTTCGTGACAAGAGTTGGGGACAAGCAGGAAAAGTCGGCTAAACCTAAGCTTAAAATACGTAAAGACATGTGTCTGCTTTCTTCTAAGCTATCAAACGACACCCCTGAGTCAATGAATAACTAAACTGCTTGCAGGTTAAGTCCTGGAAGACCCTCGGCTTTACTTTTGCTGACGTGTGTGCGTGTACAGTGTGTGCACCTGTTGGTGTCGTGTTTCGTGTCACACCTACGCTGCGCGGCATGGTGGAGCCCCGCCGAAAGGAAGCGCAGTCCGTCACGTGGTTCGATCCCTGCACATAGCCTCGGGCCACACTCGCCGCCGCCTGGCTCGGGCCACACTCGCCGCGGCCTGGCTCGGGCCACACGCGCCGCTGTCTGGCTCGGGCCACACTCGCCGCCGCCCGGCTCGGGCCACACACGCCGCGGCCTGGCTCGGGCCATACTCGCCGCGGCTTGGCTCGGGCCACACTTGCCGCCGCCCGGCTCGGGCCACACTCGCCGCCACCTGGCTCGGGCCATACTCGCCGCGGCTTGGCTCGGGCCACACCTGCCGCCGCCCGGCTCGGGCCACACTCGCCGCCACCTGGCTCGGGTCACACTCGCCGCTGTCTGGCTCGGGCCACACTCGCTGCCGCCTGGCTCGGGCCACACTCGCCGCCGCCCGGCTCGGGCCACACTCGCCGCGGCTTGGCTCGGGCCACACTCGCCGCCGCCCGGCTCGGGCCACACACGCCGCGGCCTGGCTCGGGCCATACTCGCCGCGGCTTGGCTCGGGCCACACTTGCCGCCGCCCGGCTCGGGCCACACTCGCCGCCACCTGGCTCGGGCCATACTCGCCGCGGCTTGGCTCGGGCCACACCTGCCGCCGCCCGGCTCGGGCCACACTCGCCGCCACCTGGCTCGGGTCACACTCGCCGCTGTCTGGCTCGGGCCACACTCGCTGCCGCCTGGCTCGGGCCACACTCGCCGCCGCCCGGCTCGGGCCACACTCGCCGCCGCCCGGCTCGGGCCACACTCGCCGCGGTCTGGCTCGGGCCACACGCGCCGCGGCCTGGCTCGGGCCACGCTCGCCGCGGCCATGCAGCGAACCCGCCGACCCTCACCCGTAGCCGTGTTCGTCCACTTTGTGTGTACAGACTGGTGCTAGTGCATGCGTCTAAGGTCTACGCCGAAAAAAGATAGCAAACATTGATTAGCAATGAGAGTGAGGAGTCCTTTGCAACGCTCTGTAGGTTTTCCGACGCACGTACCAATGCCTGCAAAGTGATTTTGATTGAGGCTCTTACGTGCTGCGATTGCAGTGGTTACGCGTTGAAGACTGGCAGTCTTCGTGGCGCATGAAACAACTCGCAGGAATGCATAGCGTTTGCATTGCTATTGAACAGTCGTGAATGCATAAGCAATCGTAAACAGTCACATTGTGCGCACCTCACATCTGTGACGCTGGAACTCAATGAAAATCATGCTTCACTGGACCGAGAACATGACATGGGTTACAAATTTCCCCGGTTTCCTCAGGGTATTCGTCAGACGCCACCGTGGGTGAAAAGTGTGCCCGCTGCCCCCAGACTGACCTGTGTTGAACACGGATGACCTGTGTTCAGATCGTGTACAGAGAGGGGCGGGTGGCTTCGTAGCGACGCCCCGTGCTGCCTGGCTTGTAGCGAGGCCCTTGGTGCAAGTTGTTGATGCCTCTTGGCTTTGTACAAAACTCTGGTTTTTCTGCTGTGCTCCAGATGCCGACTTTTGTATCCTTCAACCAAAGATCTACGTACTTCTAGGATAGAACCGCAATGCCATCGTTGCCGATATCGCCTGACACAATGTCGTACGCCATTAAATTCCTGTGTGCATTCGTGATAGTTCGTGATAATCCGTTTTACAGATGTTTTGTTTTCTTCTGCGGAAGTACAGCGCCATACTGTCCGAACAAGGCGCGTTCCAAGGTGTAACGACAATGCTCATTAGTCACGGCGTCTGCTGAATGCTACCCGTGCGACTGTGCTCGACAATTGCTCGAATAATTAACAAGATCCTAATGCACGTACGAAACGCAACGGCATCGATCCACATCGCGGGGCAAGAGCCGAGGCCGTGCGCTTCCGGCGGCCGGCCGGCATCGAGCCTCCCACCTGCTGTGGCAACTGCTAGTAACCAGGAGGAGCCGTTCATGCCTTGTCATCAGACGAATGCGGCGGCGTTTTCGAGTGGTGTTCGCGGACGAGACATACGGCGCGGGCACTCGGTGCAGTTTGAATAAGTCGGCGTTCTTTCAGCGCTGCGGACCATTCTGCCTAACTACCAGGCTTGCACAACAGGTAGCCTCAGCGCGTGCTTTATTCCGAATGCAAGAGCACTCGTGGAAAATGAATTGAGGCTGCATTCCGTACGGAGTCCATATTAGCGCGGCGCGTTAGTTCAGTCAGCGCGCTGAAAAATAGAGAAAATGAGAGAAGTAAATAGTGCTGTCCATTCAGAGCCCTCCGTTCGTAGTGCGGACGTCTGACAGCGGACTCACGACAAACAGCGCACTCGTTGAACTCAATATATTGACAACTAGGGCAACAAATAATCATCAACAATGTCTGGACGCGGTCGTCCGTTCCTGTGTGCGAAAAATCGATGTCACCGCCCGACGTCCTCCGAGCCCAGCCTACACGTGCAGTCTTCAAAACAGCTCGCCGGGCGTTGTCCGAGTCTCTACACGCGCTCAATCCCGGCCCAGAGCTGCCGGACCTGCACCGTCCACGTGGACGCGGTGGACTGGGCGGCCGCGGTGGACGGGAGGTGCTCCGACCGGCCGGTGGACAGTGCTGTGGACTCACGCCCGCCGGGGCACACCGCCAGGAACTAGACACGTTTGATTCTGCGGTCGAGTCAATGTAATATCGATATGTCTAGAAAGACAGCCTAACACGGTTCAGCTCGCTAAAGCACTCAGTACATTGGACCGGTGTCGATCGTGTTCAAGACGCCAGCAGCTTCAACACTTTCCTTGGAATGCGCGCACATCACTCAGGTGACACGGTATTCACGATGACGGGCATCGTGACGTCACGGGCAAACGCATGACGTCACTCACCGATGCCGGAAGAAACGTCCCGAAGGCGCTGTTCTGTGGCGTAACGAAATATAAACTATTCGCAGTCTACAAGGCGCACTGGCTACATTCTGAATAGGCAAAGCATGTAGTGAAGTAGACGGAAGTCCTCGAGAAGCTGCTACAAAACGGTGGGCATAACAAATGGAGTAAAGCTCTGAAAGAACTTTGCTAAATCAACGCGACTGAAGAAGCACACCGGTTTAACGGCAGGCAGTCAGTGTCCACGTGGCTTCCGGCAGCCAACCTGTAACCGACGCACGAACTCTTCTGAAGCCAGGCTACAGCTTACGCCACTACCGAGTAATGTGACTCTACCCGCGGCGATGGGCACCTTGGGCCTACAGCTCCGCCAACAAACACAACACAGGCAGGAGCGCGGCACACCGCCCTGCACAGGCAGTGAACCCACCAGGCCGCCTCCGGTCCTCGCCCCAACCGCCAACACTGTACACAAGACAAATACCAAAAGGTCAAGCTTCCAACATAACTTACGGACGCCGAATTTAAAGCCACAAGTATTGCGTTGCTCATCTAATAAACACTCGTGAACCCACTGACGCCGCCGCGGGCGCCGCTCACCGCGCTGTCTGCTCCCGAACACTGGCCGTACGCCACAAAGGCGACGGCCGTGCCCTGCACCAATGGACTGTGTTACAGACCGGCTGAGGACCACACCTCGCCTGTTTCGAGGACACTGGTCACCGACCGGACCACTCTTCCAACTTTTCCAGACCACCCACCTGCAGTTCAGCCTGTAGCCTCCTGGACTCCTGGCATGCCATTTCAGTCTGGCTCCAGACATCAGCTCCCGTAGTGTAGCCCAGAACCCGAGGACTGTCCTCCAGACCGTCCCAGTACACTCATGCCGGTTCGGGCATCCGTGGTCAGACCGCCGGCTCAACCTCCGCTGTTGAACCTGGTCGCGGTCAGGTCCCGGTCCAGTCCATCTCGGCCCGGTCCGGTCTGGTTCGGTCCGGTCTGGTCCAGTCCAGCCCGGCCCGGTCCGGTCTGGTTCAGTCCGGTCCGGTCCGGTCCGGTCCGACCCACACACCATCGACCGACACTACCCCATCGGCGTGCGTGCCCTGCCGTCGGCGCCGACTCAGTGGGAGCTGCTGCGAGGTGACGAGCCGGGCGGCCGCTCCAGCTCTGCCGCCTCCACCGAGGCGGCCGACGGCGAGGGCGAGGGCGCCGCCGCCTTGCCCGGACTGCCGGCGGCCGGGCTGAGCAGGCGCGGGTACATGTAGGGCGCGTACCGCTGCAACGCAGCCGGGTACACGGGCCGCGGCAGCCGCAGCGCGTCCGAGTAGCCGGCGTGCTGCGCGGCCGGCAGCGCCGCCGCCATCGACGCCGAGTGGCAGGCCAGCTGCTGCGACAGCTGCGACGCCAGCACCGACTGCGATTGCAGCGCCGCCCACTGGCTGAGCAGCGGCAGCGGCACGGGCAGCGGCGCGCGCGGGTACGCCAGGAAGGTGGACGACGAGGTGGGCGGCGCGGCCGAGGAGCGCAGCATCATCTGCGCGCGCGCCGCCAGCAGCGCCTTCTCCTCGGCGGTCAGGTTGTAGGCGTCGAAGACGGGGTGCACGCCGGGCAGGTACGGCGGGTGGTCGACCAGCAGCGTCTCGAACGTGTCCCTGTAGGAGGCGGGAGAACTGTGCCAGGTCCGCGGCTGCCCTCGTGCACACTGGCGAGGGTCACAGAACACATGGCCGGATCGAATGTAACGAACGGCTACAGAACGCTCCTTCAGGACGAGGAGATGTGCCTCACAGAGAGATGATGCGGTATAGATTGAATGCTTCTGCATTCAAAGGTATTGCGTGAGTCGACGCTGATCTCGAATCGCGAACCTATCGTGCACACTTCTTAATATAAGTCCACAGTCTTGGTACTTGCCACCAGAAACCTTCAACCACTAACGTAACGGACACACTGCCCCCTGCGCGCAGCATTCAGTCGGTTGGGCGCGGCCATTGTACGGCGCCACAGCCCCCAGACGGCCTCGGCGATCCGCGCGGCCGCGAGCGACAGAGCGAGCCCAGCCGACACCAGCCGACACCACCCGACACTAGATGACACCATCCGACACCAGCCCGACACCAGCCGAAACCAGCCGACACCAGCCCGACACCAGCCCGACACCAGCCGACACCGGCCGACACCAGCCGACACCAGCCGACACCAGCCGACACCAGCCGACACTTGCCGACACCAGGCCGACACCAGGCCGACACCAGGCCGACACCAGCCGACACCAGCCGACACCAGGCCGACACCAGGCCGACACCAGGCTGACACCAGGCCGACACCAGCCGACACCAGCCCGACACCAGCCGCCGATGGCGTGCCGTCGTCCGATGCGTCATCGGTCGGCCTGTCCGCCGCAGTGCCGCTCCGCCGCCCTGGGAGCAGGCGGCGCCTCGCTTTGATGCGGTCGGCACGCTTCCGCCGCCGCGCGGCGCGCGCCCATGGCGCGCCAATTATCGCCGGCGCGACTGTATTGCACGGGCGGGGCGGCGCGGTGGGTGGCTGGGCTCGGAGGACGCGCCGGCGCGCGGCGTAGCGGAGGCGCCGACGGTGGCGTCACCCTCGGGGACGCGGAGACGCCGCGTCCCCGCGTCCGCGCCGGTCGCGCTGCTTCCGAGCACCCTCGCTCGTAAGCGCGATCGTAACTCGAGCTCGCTAGTCAGCGGGGATGCGACCGGAGGTGGGCCCGCCCCGCGATAACTCGTCCAGGCCGGCCGCCCGCGCCGCCGGTTACTCAGCATTAGCCGCGGCGCGGCGCGCGGCACGTGTTCGGTCATCGCAGGCGGCGGGGGGCGGCGGGCGGTGCCTGCCACCCGGTCACCCGGCCCGCCCGCGTTGCCGCACGCCGCGCGCGCGCGCCATCGCGCCGCGCCACGGCCGCCGCCGCTTATCTTGACAATACAATTTGGAGGGCGGCGGCCGGCGGCGGGGCCGGCGGCGCAAAAAGGTCCGCCAGAAGTGGAAAGTTGACGCGGCGAGCGCCCGTAATGAGCCGGACGGCCGCCTAAAAACCGTCGCCTGCTGACGGAACGGGAGCTGGCGGGCGCCGAGCGGCGCCGAGCGGCATCCGTCACTCTGCCGTCGGCCGCGCCCGCGTGACGCCGCCCTTGTGTGGTCCGCAGCTCGGACGCGCCGCGGCGCCGCGCAAAAACCAGGGGGCGCCCCCGCCCGTGACGGCCGGCGCAGCGCAGGAGCGGCCGGGGCGCAACAGGGGCACGGCAGCCGGGACGGACGGCGCCCGGGCCGGAATAGCAATGAGGTCTGCCCGCCGGCCGCGCCCGGCGACGGCCCCAGCTGAAGCTGGGACGGTCGGAGGAGGTACCGGAGCCGCGGGGAACCGCGCGGGACGACCAGCTGCGGGGGACGTCGGTGGTGCCGCTGCCGGTGCGGCGGAGTCGAGGCGGTGTGGGATACCACGAGGGTTGACGAACAGGCACTACCACGGTGTCACCGTCAGCACGGAAACGACCCTGAGGTCCATTTCCAATGAAACTGTGCAGGGACGTGGTGATGCCTCGATGCATCGTAGTGGATGTCTGCGAACTACCGCACAGAGACCAGAAAGTTATTCTCGAGGAAGTCGCGATGCGGTATTGAGTCGCGTAGCGAGAGCTTACTGAGTCGCGAGGCAAACCCTTACTGAGCCGCGAAGCAAGCAAGCCCTTACCGAGTCGCGAGGCAAATATTTGCTGAGCCGCGAGGCCAACTCTTCCGAGTCGCGAGACAAACCCTTACTGAGTCGTGAGGCAAGCCCTTGCTGAGCCGCGAAGCAAGCCCTTACTGAGTCGCGACGCAAATCCTTACTGAGCCGCGAGGCAAACTCTTACCGAGTCGCGAGGCAAACGTTTACCGAGTCGCGAGGCAAATCCTTGCTGAGCCGCGAAGCACGCCCTTACCGAATCTCAAGGCAAATTCTTACTGAGTCGCGAGGCAAACCCGTACCGAGTCGCGAGGTAGACCCTTGCTGAGCCGCGAGGCAAGACCTCACTGAACGGCGAGGCAAGCCTTTACCAAATTGCCTAGCATCTCCTCTGCATCCCCGCGCACATTGCTGCGGTCATCCAGCCTACGGCCACAGCCCACAGCCCACAGCCCACAGCAAATGTGCCGACCTGGCGGCTCTGCTCAAGCGTAGTCGGAACGCCAGGCCGCCGACGGGGCCGTCGACGTCGACGGGGGCGGTGCGCGGCGGGCCGACGTCGGAGACGGTATCGCCGCAGCCATCTGCGCTGTGATCGCCGCACACGGAAACAGGCGTGAAACGAGCCGCCGTCAGGGCCAGCTTTGTTCGCCGCCCGGCCCTGCCGAACGCCGACGAGCTCGCGGAACGGCGGGCTGTCGGCCGTGTCGGCACCGATGCGGAACGGGGCAGGGATGGGGGGCACGAGGACGGAGCCGACCGCCCAGAGTCCAGGTTTGTGTTGGGATGACATAAGCCTGTCGCCGTTTGCGAAATGTGCGCAGATTCGAGGTCACGCGTGTGGTTTCGCTTGCGGATTGAGACTATCAGAAAATTGCTTTTGGGTCTAATATGTAGACAGCTGCTGCATACTCATCTGCTCCTTTGAGTAACTTCTTTTGCAGGGATTTTTGTCAAAACGCTATAATATCTCTAAAGATGTTACATATTAACACACGCCTTTTAAGAGACCAGTACGCGAGGCAAGCATCCTTACGACAGCTCTGCCCTTGGTTCCGCAGCACCGGCACACTGTCTGTAGAGAAAGCGCAAAAGTGACAGCATTCGGTTGTGTCAAAGTTACTTCGGCTTGGGAGCCCGCCATTTCAAATAATAATAGCGTTCCGTTCGTTCCAAAGCGCAAAAAACTAAACATGTGCAGTGATCCACCCGTTCAGGTGATGGAGTAAACGTGGCATGTCAAAATGAATGGATTTGGATAGGCAAGCCCGAAAGGTCCTCAGTGTCAATATTCTATTAATTATATGTTACAGCAAACATGCAATTTTAACCAAAAACAACATGTAACTCATTCCTGTTAAATAGCAATACCTTGTTTTCAATGTTATCACGCAAGATAGCACAATTCTACAATCTTAGAGTGGGCGAGCGCTTCTCATTTTCGAAAGCAGCTTTTCAGCCACAACAAATCCTGGACAGCTGGAATATTACCAGTTTTGAAGTGCGTCTGCGGCCCAGCGGTGTGGACTGAAAGATCGTCATTAAGCAAGCTCCGCTTTCGCGTAGCCGCCTCCCACAGTGCCTACACCACGGGGCGATTCTTTACATAATTATCACGCTGAGAAAGGTAACTCCGCAAAAGAAACACCGAATGAACCATGAGATCATGGCGCAACTGCCTATTCATTTGGCTGGAACACGATTTCTCGTTGTGTTCAATCTCTGTAATCTGGCGAGAGGCTGGGTGACCAGCACTCCCTTCGCTTCTTAACACAGCAGACGACGGACAGCGTTCACGCGCGGCCGTGTGCGGCCCTGAAATCTCGCTTCTGCTGGACTCTCGCAACACGGAGCGGGCCTGGCAGCCGGACCGACAGCGAGCCTTAAACACCGGTGCCGTCACCAGCGGCGCGATCCAGCGTCGCCGGAATCGATACAGCAGGGTCGGCCGGCGGCCGGCGGCTGGCGCGGCGCCGGGCCGGCGCGCGAGGCGGCCGTCCACTCGGCGGTGTTTCGTCGCCGGGTTGTTACGCCGTTGCAGCCAGATAGGCGTCATTACGGCTTCATCAGCCTTGGCGGGCTAACACAGTCATCCAGCCAAGTGCTCATTCGCGCTTTATGTACAGTTGCAATGACACGAAATGCTTCCGCCGTTGGTGCACGGCGCTCGACAGGGCGCCGACGTCCGATTCGCGTAGGCTTTTACGGCCGCCGCGACCCCAGCCCAGGCCCGGCGCTGGTGTGGACGGGAAGCGACGGCTGGGAGCTGTCCCAGCCATGGTGAGGAAATTGTCACCGAATGGCGATGGCTGTGGGAAGTCTGGGGCGCTCGCCTCAACGTGGTGGGATTCAATTTGCAGCACATCGTCGCCGAAATGGCCCGACTCGGTGGCAGTGCACTGTTGCACGATCAGCAGACACATGACGGCCATGTCCACGCGGCGCTTTCGCAGCCCGGCTGGGACCAATGGTGCCCTGCATCGGCCGTTATGGTGCCTTACGGGGGTCGTGAAGTAAGCAACGGTTTTTTTCTCAGTCACGACAGTGTCTGTGATTTTTCCGCTTCCGTATTTTTACGATTCCAGCTAACAATGAGCAGTGCACAGTGGCATGATAGTCACTGAACACGTCACACCAACATTGTTGTGAACGCGACGTTGACAATTTTACTGGACTAGAAACGTGAGCTAATGAGTTTTTAATTAAGTTAATCAATGTCAATGACGTTAATCTCATCTGTACACATTAACACGAGTGTGAAATGGCGAGAAAGGTCGGCGTAACAAAGTTGTTGGCGCCAGTGTCCTCAAACGAATAAATGCTAAGGTCAAGCTTATTTTGAGGGTAGTTGGCATGATCGCTGATACACCTACTGCATTGCATCCTTCATATATGACAATTAAGAATGCAACCAGCGTCTCGGATTTGCCTCGGAAGTGGAAACATCTTTTTTCATTTAACTCTGGCGGAAGCAAGACTTATGCTAACATGAGACGTTGATTTTGAAAATAAACCCAGGTACCGGGGTATGCGTGAAATATTGTATTTACCAAACAGGTATGTTGGGTTTCAGGACGGGAACAGATGCTGGAAACCCTTTTTAGCCGATGGCTGACAGTTCAACAAGCACCCGCGCCGGATTTAACACCGGCTCCGGCTCACTGGCACTCGAAAACGCCGGCTCCGGCTCACTGGCACTCCCAAACGAATCGGCTGCACCGTACCTCCTCTGAGACGCGCGTGATATCACAGCCGACCCAATTCCGCCCAGCACGAGGTGTAAGCGCGCTGGCAGCGGCAGCCGCAGCGGCCATGCGTTGACGCGGCGCGGCCCCCGCGGCGGCAGAGTGGGCCGAGGTCCCAGCGGGTGCCGCCCGCATCCCTGCGGCAATTAGCCCGGCGCGGGGGCCGACATCGAGTCGCTCCCGCCGCGGATGAGGCAATCAGGGCGCGCGGCCGCTGTTGATCCGGCCGAGTCGGCTCTGTTTGCCGCCGGTCGCCGTCAAACAGTGGCCGGCGGCGGCGGCGGCCGGGGCTGGGGGACAGTTGTGTCGGCGGCGGCGGCACGCGCCCCGCCGCTCCCTGGGGGGTCCGCCGGCGGCGGGGGCGCGCCGACCCGCGCCGACCCCGGATCCGGTCCCGCGCCCGGCCGCCGCCCGACCGTGGGACACGTGACCGGGTCCGGTCCGGGTCTGGTTACCGGACGGTTCGGGTCTCGGCGAGACGAACAGATGCTGGTGTGGGGCGGGAGGAGCCACGTCGCGGGGCTGTGGCGAGTGCGCACGGGCCGGGATGGGTGCGCACACACAAGCACGTGCGGGAGCGGACAAAGCGTGCACACACACCCGTAACCCTCAAAGGACACGCGTCTGCCACAAACGCGCTGGTTTACACGTCCTGTAGATACAACGCTAAGCTGGGGAGATTGTACCACGAGAAACGCGGAGCGGCAGTCTGGTGCAGATGTGTTATCTGGAGCCGGAGATGTTTTAGCCATGATTTGGGACCAGTGAACGCCAAAGAAATCCATTGACGGGAGATACTGTGGTTTTATTTCACTCTTTTCGGACCCCCACGGCATGAAGTTTAAGAAACCTGCTTTGCAATGAAGCAAGTGGGGGACAGGAGTTTTAAACAGGCATGTTGCACGAAATCGCAAGATATGGAGGTAATTTGTCCAGCTTATTGTAAAACACGTGCCACTTGCGCGAAATCTAGCTTCAAGTAAAATCAAATAAAAAATGAATTAAAGCTCAAGCTATCTGTTGTTACTTTTGAAATTTTGTAGCTAATTGTACATATTTACCTTCTGTTGGGGGGCAAGATTCCGTGATTATTGTCCTCTACTATTCATTCAAGCCTGCCGATGCGGTTTCACAGACAGTGAGGATAAGATAAATGAAACAAGTCCAACCTGATTTCAGAAAATGGACCACATCCACCCGGACCTGCGCGGAAGCCACACGCTCGACCCCGCTGGGCTCATCCGAACCTTCGCTACCGACCTCTGACCGGCTCGGGCGGCAGAGCCCCTCCCCCGCGGCGGGCCCTCCGCCTACCGTCTCCTCCCGCCCGCGCCGCCCAGATTGACAGCCCATGAAATGCGGGCGGGCCCCCGCCGCGGTGCGGGGCGCGCCCGACGGCACTCCCTGTTTTCTTGCAGGGCGACACAGGCGTGACGCTCGTCGCTCGGCCGCCCGCCCGCCACACGATGCGTCCGATAACCACATACCGCGCGACGCTAGGCAAATCAGCGTGAAAAACCCGACACTGGAATGCGAGATATGAGAAGCGGGATATTAACGGTGCTATCTCCGGCGCGGAGGCGCCCCGGCGGGCGGTGCGCGTGCTACTGCCGCCGGAAGGGGTCGCCCCGGTTCCGGGCGCGTCGTCATGGTGATTTAAGGCGTCAAAATGTTGTTTTTATCGTCGACGTGGGGCGGTTGTCTGAGTATGCAATCATGGCCGGGGCTAAGCTGCGGGCCAGACGCGGCGCGGCGAGAAAGCGCGCGGACGACGGCGGTCGTGTTTTGAGGGTGGGCGTGGCGAGCAGCACACAGCTCCGTCGTCCGAGTCATCTGAGTGACGAGGGAACAAAAACGACAGACGAGCGGGAGCCGACTCGAGTTGCGATGGCGCAGGAGGCCCGCAAACACCGAGCACGTGTCACCTTTGTGTGCAGCGACGCAGCCGGGACAGACACGGATGGAGGATCTATAGTACTGAGGGTCTGGGGTCACAGCACTGACCTCCGCCCATGAGGCTAAATGTTCCTATTCCAGCGCAGAATGTTACGCATTTCTGTAGTCATAATGAGGGGTGGTAATTAGGAGCATTTCAAAAAGTGCGAGACCAAGCCCCTTTTTGAATTGATTTGCTTTCCACGCAACACTCATGGACTAATGTCAAACTTCAGAATCGGAGGGGAGAATAGCTTTTACCCTTTTCCTCTGCCCGTGGCTGTGGGACAACTGCCCGGATACAACGAGTGATCGAGCTTCCCTTGAAGTATGACATAAAGTTTCCAGTTTCTCCACCCAGCTTGAGCCATCACCGCACACCTTTCGGTGTCAATACACCTATCATCGAATCGAAACGTGTAAATGTACATACCTGCACTACTGAATTTTCATTCTCATACTGAGCAACCGTCTGCGTTGCGCTACATAATCAGTGTTAATCGTGTGATCGCCAAAGCATACGCGGAAGTTTCAATTTTACTACTCCGCGGACATATTGCAAATGCAATGTTTTATCGTTCGAGTGGCCGGCCATTCACGACACGTCGCGATCTGCTCGCTCAGGGACCCACCTCTCGAAGTCCGTCAAGCCGAGAGGAGTCGCGGAACCCCTTGGCGAACGGGTTGCTATCGATCTTCAGCTTGGTGATCTGAAAAACAGGGCTTAAATCAGCCGCGGCGGGGAGAAAGCGATGGCGGCCGAGACTTTCCGAGTCGACCGCAGACGTTCGGAAGACAGTTTAGTATTCAGCGGGCCTGGGTCCGCGGAAAGTTTGCTACGGGAGGGGCAGGGCGAGATTGTGTTGCCAAAACGAGGCAATGTTTCAAATGTGGGTCTCGCAGAACTATCTGGAACGAGATGTCAGAGAATGATGCGCTCTTACAGCGAACAGCAGGGACAGGGCCTAGAACAACTTGGTCAATGTATGACCAGGGTGCAGCGGGGTGTACACCGAGTACCGCTCCACTCTCTTTAGCCGCATACCGCATCAACCAATTATGACCTGCCGAGAACAGGGCACCCATCCCTCTCATACAACACGGGCTTTTAGTCCCAACATTGTACAACACCCACCAGTTGGTTTTGGTAGGCCGTCACTGCGGTGAAGACAGTCTCTGGGAAGATGAACGTCTTGTAGTCCTGGCCCTCCAGGTCCGTGATAGAGCCTGCGTGGCCATCTTTCCGCCGTATCAAATGCACGCGCGGCTGGTACCGATGCATGGAGTTCAAAATCATCTGAAAAACATAGATAACTGTGGCATTTCTCGCATTTTAAAAGTTCGTGAGCATAGCATCGAATCCACCATACGTGAACACCGACCATCAGACGGAACGTTTCGCAATGCTGATCTATCAATCCGCTTACGGCGCACGTGACGACTATGCCATAGCGTTCCTTCATTAACGCCTGGGTCCTCGCGCCGCTTCGGAGCCAGCGCCGCGCCCCGCCGCCTCGCGCCGGCTCCCCGCCCAGCAAACTTTGCGGTCGAAGCCCGTCGTCGACGGTCCACTTCCGCCATTGTGCCATCCCGGCGGCCCAACTCACCAGGCCCGACTTGTCCATCTCGTTATTGGTCACTTTGATCTTCTCGAAGGAGACCACCTGCTTCTTGAGCTGCTCGCCGCTGAACGGGCAGTCAGGGTGCACGTAGAGCCGCGCCGGCGCCGGTGGGTCCGCCTTGCCCGCCACCAGCCACGACGACCGGTGGTAGGCGTAGCGGTAACGCTTGTTGTCAGCCGGCACGATGTCCAGCACAACCAGGAAGCGGTGCTCCAACTTGAGACCCGAGAATGACACCCGGATGGTGGGGAACATTCGCCTGGGGGACAGTGAGGTAGGCAACTCAGCAGACGAACGACATGTGGTTATTTCCCTTCTCCAGGCAGACGGCGGTGGGCGTCTCCCTTCCTCAGACAGACGGCGACGAAGTCAGCACTGTCATTGTTACCTAGGAACTTTTTCCAGCACGTCTATGAAACGGTTTGCTTACGCCAAGCATATGCGACTTGCTATGAGCAAACGAAAGTATTCATAACGGTCACCAGTTGTGGGTCTGATTGTGTATTATCGGCGCATCGGTGTCGATTTCGTCGGGCATGAAAGCGAGCAACGCAGAAAACTTTAATTCCGCTTCGATTCGAAATTTTCAGTGGCGTGAACTGTGCTCCAGTAACGTTGGTACCAAAGTCCTCGCTAAGCATCGCTCGTTGCGTGGCCACTAGACCCACGAACCCAGAGGCCCAGTGAACACTAGACCCGCCACCCCAGTGGCCTAGACTAGGGAATAATTCTGCTCCAGTCTGATAGCGAACGAGGTTTCTATCCACCAGGGTGGGTTTTCGACAAGCGACGCGCGTCTCGCCATGATCAGCGCTAAAATGATCAAAATATGGCGAGTCCTTGTGAAGCGACATAGACGGGCCTACGGCAGGCTCTTCAGGCACTATGTCAAGTTGACTGCTTCCTTCCGTTTTTGTTTCAACCTAAGGCTGGGCTAAGTTCATGACCTTCACCAGGCAGAATTTGAAAAGGCATTGATGGTAGAAATTGTTTTTGTGAACACTCACAATCACCTCATATGGCCAGGTTTAAACATGATTTATCGGCTCTTTTCACGCAGGCTTTCTGCACGCTATCGCCGACGCCATTTTCACATATCCTGCAGGATCCCGAACACTCATTATACCAAGCAGCCATATGCCATGAAGACTGCCTTCAAACGTTTCCCTAACACGTGAAATCTGTCCCTGGCTGCAGGTAACTGTCCCCGGCTGCAGGCAACGAGCAGCGATTAAAACGACGGGCCTCCATGAGCTCGCCAAACATGTCTTAATTGCTCGAGCCAAGCCACATTGGGGGCACAGATGACCACATGATCAACTCGGTCCGCACAAACGAGCGAACTAAAAGCACATGCTCAGAGCTGCTGCAAAACATTTCCTCATTTTCTAGAGCATTTTCGCGCGCATGTCGTTCCCACGCCCGCCCGACGCCCGGAAAGCACGTTGGCGTCGCCGGTTGTGGTGGCTGCCCCTCCGCCTGCGACGCCAGCCGGGCGGCCGGGCTGCCGCGGCGCGACGTCTGCCGGGGGCCGGTTGACAGGAGACGGCCGTCTATTCCCGTCGGCCGGGTCAGCCGCCGCAAATGACCGCGTCACGTCGCCGTCGACGAGTCATCGCGTCGTCACGCTCGTCACGCGCGTCACGCCGCCGTGACGCCGCCGGCCGCCGCGAGGTCTATATCGGTCAGCGCGCGCGCGCGTGCCTGTCCGCCCCCGTTCTGGCGGCACGGGCGCGCCCCTCCACGCATCGTGGGCGGCAGGCTCTAGTGGGGCGTCCGCGGGGCTGGAAGGACAGGGAGGCATCATGCGCCTCCAGGCGCTGTGTGGCGGCGCTCTCAGCACGGTGACGGGGCTGGCCCGCCGGTGAGGCGCGCCGAAGTAACGCACGCGTCATCGCACTCGGCGCAACATTGGAATCGCTTCTCCGAGTACAAACGCCGTGCTGAACGCGTCGCCACCGCACGCCGCGAACGTGCGCCAATAACGGAGGACTCATCTCGCCGTGCCGCGTGCGGTGCATCCCCTCGCCTGCGCCGATGAGCGCACGGGAGCCTGTCATCCAGGTGGCGCCGGAGGGAGGAGGACGAGCCGTAACTCGCCCCGCTCCCGGCACGCGCACCCGAGTCGCGCCCGGAATGTGGCGCGCGTCCTGCGAGGCATTAGCGCGCGTCCTGGGTGGCGCACTGGGCCGGGGGGGGGGACATCTGGCGAGCCCCGCGCTTCATGGGTTCGCATCGGATGCAGCGAGCTCTTATTACCGGCTGTGAGCACATGATGCATGTCCGAGGGGATGATGCATGGCGGGGCGGTGATTTGTGGCGACGCCGGAGTCACGTGAGCCGAGCCTGTTGCAGGCACGCCCACGCGTGAGTATGTGACACCAGTCTCCTCTCGCCGGGATGTTGATCCCTTTGCGAATGACACGAGAGCTTCCGAGGCAGTCGCGCTGCTTTTGTATGTGGTTACGAGCGTCGTGGTCTAGCGCCCTGCCGTGGTCGGAGCGCATGCTCATGGTGGGAACTCCTCCTGCGTGACACCGGCAAGGCAAAAATCCGCGCGTAAATTGGCAAAAATCGGACGACACGACACTAGCCGACTAACGAGAGCCGAGCAGCGCAGGGGCCGCACCAGCCGCGGTTCCCGTCAGTGGCGGCGCGGCGCGAGGAGCCTCGCATTCGGGCGCGGCGATGGCGGCGCGCGCCAAGATCGTCGCGTCGCCGCCGACGGAGAGAGCGTGGTGCCGCGTCGGCGCCGCCTCTCCCGGCGGCAAAACACGACCATAGATCTCATCGGGAGCGCCCGGCATGCGCGACGCCCTCGGCTCGGCCCGTCACTCGGCGACGGGACCGGCCCGGCGGCAGGAATGTCCCCAATCGTCGGACCTCCGTCGACGATGTGCCACCATTAGCAGTCACTAATTTAACTTGTCAAATAATTTACGAGAGGCGTTGGCGGCCGGCGCCCCCCCCCCCCCCCCTCCGGCGGCGATTGGCTGGCGCGAGGCGGCGCGGCCGGCGCGCACGACAGAGACGTCGAGAATTCGACCACGTCCGCACGGCGGCGGCGGCGACGCGGCCGGGATGGCCGGCCGGCGGCGCGCGCGCGCCGGCGCCATTTTCCTGCGCGGCGGCGGTGGCGGCGGGACGGCCTTCGCGTCGCCTTTGTCTCGTCGCGCCGCGGCCAGGTGACGCCTGCGCGCCGGTAATGACCCCGGTAATCACACAGATGAGATTACACTCGGTGCAAGTTATCATCATTGCCGGTAAGCATACCGCCGCGCGGCACGCTACCGGCCGGCCGCGCGCTGCGCTCATTTGTCCCCCGGCGCGGCTAATTGGCGGGGCGACTAACGCGACGTAAGTGGCGCGGAGGCGGCGACCCCGCGCCGAGATGCGGCCCTTCCGGCGGAGGCTGCGGCCTGACACATGACGGCGCCCGCGGCGCATTTGCCGCTAATGGCGCGCGTCCGCCGGCCAGCGGGAGATCAGGCGCCACGTGCTCCGCGCCGCCGCCGCCGCCGCCGCCGCCGGCCCTCCGGCCCCGATCGCGCGCAGCTCGCTCGCCGCCCGGCTGATTGGAGGTGCCGGTGTGCGGAGTTGCCAGCTGCTGAAACATTCAGGCGGTCGATGGTGCGCGGCGCTGAAAAATTCAGCGCCGCGTAATGGTCTCCCGATCGGCCGACGGCTTCAATCTTTAACGGGCCGCCGCCGCCGGCGACCACTTTGTGTTAGGGTGCGCGCGCTCGAGGACTGGCACCGCATCCGTCAGGCGCTGCTGTCCGCCTGTCTGTCGGCCCGGCTGGCGGGAACGTATGGGCGGGGGCTGGCCGTCAGGCGCCCTGTCGGGAGTCAATTTGCATGTCAGTGTCTGGTCGGGATTCGAGCCGACTATGCCGGTCTCTGGGTACGTCATGTTTTGCTGCTCTGCGTCTGGGTGTTGCGCCTGACCGCGGAAAAGAGCGAGGCTCTGGTGCATCGACACATACGGGCGTGACAAGGTATCCATCACAGAGTATCCCGCTTGCTGCATGATGTTGAGTGCCACGCTCGCGGTGTGCATCTTTTCTTAGCTCTGGACTTCTGAGAGTCGTCCCGTCCTACCGGACTGCTTTTGCGGGCCGTGGAGCATATTCCGCTTAGTTGGGTCGACTGGGCGGGTTTCTGGGTAGGCGCACTAAAATAGGATGATGCAAGCAAGTAGAAGCGAATGTTGAACCAGTTTGATCCAGCACCTCCCGGGACGAAGCCTGCCGGATTTGTTTGAAGTAACGGTGTATCGAAGACAAAAGCAACCTTTCTTGATCGGGCGGAAAACAGTTGACCCGAAGCGTAAAGGGCGTTCTATCTCACGCTTTCAAAATCGGCTTGGCGAAACCATTCTAAAGACATAATTTTAAACAGCCCCGTTCCAACCTCACTTCAGTACCACGTGCCGAATCACTAAGCAAAGCACGGGCCGAAGTCCGGCGGAAGAGCCGCCGGGTGGCGGAGTGGCGTGTGCACGGCGCGCGTGACGTCCTCGGCATCAGAGCGCCGCCATTTGCCGCGCGCGAACAGAGACGTGTCGCTGTCAGGCGCGCTCGCCTCGCCGCCAGCTTTTTCCGGCGCCGATCAGGACAGCGCCCGGTTGACATCGACAGGCAGGGCGGCGCGCGCCGCCGGCGCATACCGACGCCGTGTGGCGGCGCGGGGTGGTCCCGGCGCTGGCCGCACCTCGCGGTCGGCAGGGAGAGGGGCACGGAGGGCCGCAGCTCGCTCTTCAGTTGGCGGGAACTGCAATTGGTAGGGTTTTTCTGGTGGGAGTGGTGGTTGGCTGTGTTTTCTCGGTTGTTGTGGCCCCGTTTTGTCTGTATATGCATGCGTGCACGCATCGCAAAATCTTCATAACGTGGCTCTTACAAGATTTTCAGGTCGGTATCAAATATGAAGTCGCCACACAGCGTAAGATAAAGTATACGATCAATAGCATACACCGTTGCCGAGGGTGACTCCCATTCGTGATGTGATGCAATAATGCCATTGCCCAAATCCTGTCCCATTTCATGCTCTCCTCACCTACCAGTACTGCGACGCTTAAATTATCCCTCTCATACACGTTAAGTGTGTTCAAGACTCGCCCTTCGGAAGGGACTAACTGTGCTGCTAACGCTACGTGCTGGTAACGCTGTCGTGATAAACATCTGCACATCTCAGCTTTGCAGGATGAAATCACAACGTAAATGGGTAAATCCCCCGAAGATGTATGCACACGGGTGTGCA